AAATGCTTTCTTGGAAAGTATGCATTTTTTTTCTTGTATTAACAATTATATTCAGTACATTGGAAACATTTATAACCTAGTATTGAGTTACTTTGACCATATGCAAATATGTGATGAATAGAAGGAAAGGTTAGTTGTAAAGCTTTGCTTCCATCATTCCTAGTTTGTTTGCTCAAGATGTTGCTACTCTTGATCTTACTTATTTGATATACATGTGTGTGATATACAGTAATACAGTACTGTATACAGGCAAAACACCCTCTAAAAAATCAAATAAAAATTCAGTGTAGATGTTACTTGTCTTGTGGCACACATGGCCTGGCATTGATTTACATGGACCATATTTATGGTCCAAGAAAATGGAGACCACTGTAAAGGGAAAGTAATGTAAAATTATATTAAGGGGAATTTTTTTTTTTATTCCCATATAAACCCAAGAAAAGTATGGGTCTGAAATAGAAATGGTACAGCGAAAGAGTTAGAATAGAAACGGTTGAAAGTGAATGCTTAAAAAAATTCCAAAGATGTTGGAATTTTGTTTATCTGTTAATTACATTATTTATTAAATGATCTGTTTATTTTATCTGTTTATGTAATTACAGACTAATTATTAATTCTTACATTTAATCTGAAAAAATAATTTGTTGGCCAATTTTTTTTTAACCACAATTTAAGGCACTAACTAATCTTAATTCAAATAACCTAAGTTTCATATCATTGATGCACTTTTGAGCTTTTTAATTCATGGTACTTTTTTGTTTTACTAGTCATATATTACTGAATTATTTTGAATATGTAATGAACTTAACCAAAGATTGAAACCTGCAACTAGAATGCTTTAACCTCTTTCCCTATTATGTATATTAAATACTATACTGTCTTATGTTTATTGCCTTCACTTCCCAATTTTTCTCAGGAATGTTTACAGGATAATGATAGTTTCATTTTTGCTTTTAATTAGCCGGCTTTATAAGTCATGGCACTTGCGGTAAGTCTCGAAACACAAAACAGGAAACTGATTCATCACTTAAACCAGATTTTCTAAATCAAGAAGTTTGCACAACTTGGCTTAATGGTATAACTTGCTCCCCAACCTTGAATGTTGTCTTGCTCTAGATTATAGTTTCAAGGTTGAGGGCATTTGTAGGTTAAAATTTGTACACGTCTCTCAAAATCTGATAACAAATTAAACCGTTAAGAAAGTTATAAATAATTGTTTCTAAGTGAAATGTCATCAAATGGTGCTTATTGATATAATATTTTGTTGCTGCTTCTTATATGAATGTAAAAAGTCTTGCCATTTATGTATGTTAATCTCTGGGATGAGAATATTATCGTTAATTTGGTTTAACTCTAAAAGTTTTATATAAGCTCCATTCAGTGTTAGCAAAGAGTATTAAAAACTTGTCAGACATTAAAAAAAATGTACAGTACTTGCAAAACAAACCCACATAGTATTGGAGTTCAAAATTAGATGTCAATTTTTTTCAGTTTCAATGTACGAGTTTGTTGTGCATTTAATTTAGTCTTGATGTTGAGACATTTTCTAAAATATTTTTGTTTCTAAAGAGATACATGAACTATATTTAAAATAGTTATTATCAGTGGCAGCTTTTGTGTAGAAATAATAGTGCAGTGTGGTAAGAATTGTGGATTGTTAGTAACTTTATATTCCCTGCTTGTTTTTGTAAATGTTTTGTAAACACTGAAATAAGAAGTCGGGTGCAAATGTTTTGTAAACACTGAAATAAGAAGTCAGGTGCAGTCTCCAAGAGTTTTAATACAGTACAGTTTAATTTAGGCAGAGTATTAGTATTGGTTACAAGAGTATCTAAACTAATTTCAAGAATAAATTGAAAGGCATTTTTAAATACTCGAGAGGATTTTGGGACGTTGAATGTATGCAGTTTTTAGTTAATGTATGTGCCCACTTAGTTGTGCTTGCGAGGGTTGAGCTTCAGCTCTTTGGCTAAATTCCAGAGGTTGTCACGGTGAAAACCAGGTTGTTGGTTCTTGAAGCAATTTTCCTCAAATCTTGTTTCCTTTTTCTTACTTTTACTACTCTTTATTTTTAATTTGTCAATAATAGTAAATAAATAAATTGTATTTTTAAATTTGTTATATTAACTGGTACTGTACTATGAATTGTACAAGTGGGATTGTTTTTGTTTGTGATTGTTTTTTCTGAGGCATCAAGACCTGCTGTGAGAGTACGTGTACTGAGCATGTGTGTTTATTGTGCGAGTGTGGTCTGACCCCTGTTACCTTGAGGTGCTTCCGGGGCTTAGTGTCCCCGAGGTCAGGTCGTCGTCCAGGCCTCCTGGTTGCTGGACTGATCAACCAGGCTGTTGAACGCGGCTGCTCGCAGCCTGACGTATGAGTCACAGCCTGGTTGATCAGGTATCCTTTGGAGGTGCTTATCCAGTTCTCTTGAACACCGTGAGGGGTTTGCCAGTTATGCCCCTTATGTGTAGCGGAAGCGTGTTGAACAGTTTCGGGCCTCTGATGTTGATAGAGTTCTCTCTCAGAGTACCTGTTGCACCTCTGCTGTTACTCAAGCATTTTCACTTTTATTCTGATATATCATTACAGTGGAACCTCGAGTGACGAGCGCCTCAATCTACGAGCATTTCGAATAACGAGCGCGCCACTCGGCGAAAATTTGTCTCGATTGACGAGCTTTTGCTTGATTAACGAGAAGAGCACATGGTGCTTCCTAGCGTTCCCGCTGGTTCTCGCAAATTCTCGGTCACCTCCGACGATGCAAATGACTCTTTTTTTTTGTGTTTTAAAGATGCTAATGATGCTGGGATGTACAGGGGTGACTGCTGTAATGTTGCAAAGCATTGATTTGTTTTTTAGACAAAATTAGAAAAAAAAATTAAAATTTGGAAAAAATAATGTCAAAGGTTCATTCAGTGAATGTCAGGTAGGCTACTACATTTTCTAAAAAAAAAATAAAAATGAAAAATAAAAAAATTGAAAGAATTTGAAAAAAGAAAAGAAAAAATGTCATAAAGGTTTGTTCAGTGTGTGTCAGGTAGGCTGCTCTAATTATTAATAAAAAAAATAAAAAATACAAACCAAAATGAACAAATATGAAAAATAAAAAAATCTCTTAATGGAGCATCCTACCTGACAAACACTGAATGAACCTTTGACATTTTTCTTTTTCAAATTTGTTAAATTTTGTTTATTTTAAGTTTATTTTTTTTATTAAAAATTTAGCAGCCTACCTGACATTCATTGAATGAACCATTTTCTATATAAAAAAAAAATTAACAAATTTGAAAAAAAAAAATGTCAAGGGTTTGTTCACTGTATGTTAGGTAGGCTGCTCCATTACTAAAAAAATCAAATATCATACTGATGTTTTTTGGCTGTAGAACGGATTAATTTTATTTCCATTATTTTAAATGGGAGAATTTGTTTCGAAAGACGCGCGTTTCACATGATGAGCTTGGTGCCGGAACGGATTAAATTTGTTAATCGAGGTTCCACTGTATTTGCAAGTTAAAGCTACATCATGCAGCAAGAGTGAGATGGATACATCAGACAACAATAAGAAAACCTTTAATAATGCAGGCAATGAGTCACAATAACGTGGCTAAAGTAAGTTGACCAGACCACACACTAGAAGGTGAAGGGACGACGACGTTTCGGTCCGTCCTGGACCATTATCAAGTAGATTGTCTCACAATCGACTTGATAATGGTCCAGGACGGACCGAAACGTCGTCGTCCCTTCAGCTTCTAGTGTGTGGTCTGGTCAACCTTTGATAATGTTTGGTGGCAGTCAGGAAAGCCATACAGGGCAGAGTATCATTGGGAGTGTGTGTGTGTGTTTATTTTTTTATTTTTTTTGTTTTTTTGTTATGTATGGATGAATAAATTTCTCCCTCAAGTTACAATATGAGTGCATTGGTTTTATTTCTAGTGTTTCTATACCCACTGTGACCCAGCGAGTATTGGAACACTATATAAAGTGGCCCCACTATATAGGAGCAATTTTGAAATGGCCCCACTGTGACCCAGTGGGGGCCATTTCAAGAGATTCCATCTGTTCCAGTGTGTAAATTTTAACCTGACCTGGCTTTTTAAGAAAATCACTCCTGTCATTAGAAAAATCAGAACTTTGCCGAAGAGAGCAACCTAGTGACTGACACGGAAAGTAGGTTTTCTATACTTGGAGCCATATTTTTATGAATGGACAACCTGATGTATTGTGGTTCAGAGCTAGAGATCGATTACCACATGAATTAGAAGCGTGTATTGCTCGATTTATTTGTACGTTAGAGAAAATTTGTATGTGGTCACACTATTTAGCTTATAGGATACATTCATAAGTTCAACCCCCAACTATCAGTTTTTGTTTTAATATGGTATTGATTTAGATTAAGTGTGCTTCATGTTCTAACACGTTTATCCTGCATACATACTCAAATGACCCAAATGTTGATAATTGCACTGTAATCCTGCATGATTGTCCTTAAAGTCTTGTCACTGCAGTATACAAATGTACAGTGTAAACAAAGAAAGTGTATAGTATTTGGAATGCAGTGATAATGTCTGAAGTTACCAATATATTTAAAACATTAATATAATAGATATAATACTAGGCCACAACATATTGATTGGGCTAATTTAAGTTCTCTTGCAAACTTTTTGTGGAAGCTTGTCTATATAGTGTCTTAGTTTTCATGGTTATTTTGTAATAAATAATTTGCTTGGATGTTTAAATTCTGTGTAATCCAATTTTCTATAAATGTACTATTTAATTGACCCTTCCCACCCCTTTTCATGGTAGAATATATAAATATATAACGTAATGTCTGAGTAAATTAATGTAAAGGAAGAATTGCTAGATATTTTTTCAGTAGAATTTCTTGGTAAAGTAACCCAGTTCAGCAAATTGCATTCTGCTTACAGCTATGCCATAGGTTTTTACAGAAGCTTTGCTCCTAAACTACTACAGTTAAATGAAAATGTTTACATTTTCAGTCGTCTACGGAAGACCCGCCACAGCCGATCTCGTTCCCGTTCACATGGCCCACGACACCAGAAAAACCTCAAAACTGTCAAGGCATTGGCACAGAGAACTCAGTCTCTTACCTCACAGGTTTGCTGCACAAATTTTTACATGAAATATAGTTAAGTGATACTGAATTATTAATTATCCCATTTCCTTTGTATGTGGAGTTACTGTACTTTAATACAGTTACAGGAAATGGTTATGCTCCTGGTGTCCCATCTTTCATGTACAGTAGTGTCACATGAGACTTCGAAATAGCCGATGGTTTTTGGCATCCACCAACACAGGCCAAGTATACATATATATACATATACGAGGGGCCCTGACAGCTAAGTGGACAGCACTTCGGATTCGTAGTCCTGAGGTTCCGGGTTCCTCTCCCCAGTGGAGGAGGAAACAATTGGGCAGAGTTTCTTTCACCCTGATGCCTCTGTTCATCTAGCAGTAAATAGGTACCTGGGAGTTAGACAGCTGCTACGGGCTGCTTCCTGGGGATGTGTAACAAAAAAGAGGCCTGGTCGAGGACTGGGCCGCGGGGACGCTAAGCCCCCGAAATCATCTCAAGATAACTTTAAAGTGGGAAGGCATACAAATGTTTTATCTCATTTTTTTTTTAAACATATGTCAAGCATCTCGGTTGATGCCGTATTTCAATGGAAAGTTGATCTTGCTTTAATTCTGTGTTTAGGCAAGAGTTCCTGGATCCCAGCTAGCTGTTCTTATAGCAGGGTGCATCCATATGTCCTTCCACTGTTGCAGTTCTCCCTACCATTCTTTTGGTTAAGAGGCTTTGTATGTAAAAGAGTTGGTGGCTTTGCTCTGAGGTGATATTCTTACTCTGGCATTTTAGCTTAAGCTGATGTCAATTAATCATAATTATTTTTCTTTGTGTTGACGCATCCTGTTGTTGTCGCACCTGTAGATGTTTATCATTCTAATACCTCAGTACAGTACTAATATATAGTCACTTCCTATACTATCAAATGGAATTTATTATTTAAGAGTTGCAAATGATCCTTTCAGAATTCTTACTATTTGAGTGATTGATGATTTCCTACAGCAGGTTTTATATGAAGTAGCTACCCAGTCAAGGCTGGGAAGTTAATGGTGGGGGACAAGACACTTGTGATATAGAAATTGTGCACACATCCATCCTCATGTTTAAGGATTAAGCATACTGTATTTTGCAACATATTTCATCCCACACCAACTTGTCTTAATGACGAATATTTCAGTTCATCATTTAGTTTACAGTACGTATATCCTTGGTGATATTTAGCGCCCTCTGATTATTCCGCACATTTGATGGTGCTACATAGCCTTCCCGGTTTGGTGCCTTCTTTTGATAATTACTTACTTACAGTACGTACTCTACTGTGTTTATTTTTAGGGTCGGCTTCCTGGTTCTCGCAAACCTCCACATACGGTGACCGGACAATTCCAGCTCTCTCTCCAAACACTGATGGAAGCTCTCAACACTGCCAACCCTTTCTTTATTCGATGCATCAAGAGTAATGCAAGTAAGGTATGTAGCCATCAGAATTTAAAATATTATCTTGAGTGCCTTTTAATGTATAAATGGAAACCCTAAACGCTTTATAAATCAGAAACAGTAAATAGATTTTCCTAGAAACAAAAAATATGGCATCACAAATTTTGAGTCTTATCTGACAATCATTCAAGACAAAAGATAGCTGTAGCAGTCATATAGTAATCCAAGAAACAGAATTTTGAATAGATTTAATCAAATATGGGCTTAAAAAATTATTTTGTAATGTGTGTGTTAAATTATTGGGCTGATATGCTTGAAGACTGAATGCACAAATATACATCAGCCAACAAATAAGATTTTTAGTCAAATAATTTAACAAAGACACAGTTGATTACAGAATTTGATTTCTTAATGTGATTGTTTTTCAGGAGGCCAATGTTTTTGGAGATGAAATGGTGATGCGGCAGCTGAGATATACAGGCATGTTGGAAACTGTTCGGATAAGGCAGGCTGGCTTCAATGTTAGACTCTCCTATGATGAATTCATTCACCATTACAGAATACTCTTACCCAAGGGTCTCTTAAGGTATACTAGTTTCTTCATGTACTACAAGTATGAATAAATATTGAGACGAATGGAATTGAACCCCGCGTACCTGAACTCTGGCACATGCACTATTGGTTCGATTTCATTGTATGTCCTCAGTATTTAGTCATGAGATTCATCACATTCATGTGATAGAATTTATACTACAAGAATCATAATATTTCAAACTAAAATATTAAATTCCAAAAGTTTTTTGTTCTTCAAGCAATGATGTGAAAGGGATGCTTTTGAAGAAAATGCTCCTTATACCACAATTTTGGGTTATTTCCATATATTCATTTGCCAAAACATCTCTCACGAGTGCTTTTTTGTAGAGTGTCATCATTGTCACTATTAACTCATAAACTGATATCTTAGTTATGCTGATCTACAGCTAAAATACTTCTGAAACAAATGAGGTCAATTTTGTCTACCGTTATTCTGGGTCACTACGAATGGAACTGTTTAAATTTGTTGATTAGCTCTATTTTCATCCAGGACGAGCTTTAAAGCTGTTTTTCTTCTCAATGGAAGTGTTTTTCCATGAATTCCATTGGGTTATGGAATGGAGAACTGGCGCTGTGGGATGAACCAAACGTCGAGTTAAGGGGCCTAAATGAATGCTCAATTTTCCCTCATATGGAGCCCATATGAGGGAAACTGATGACTACATGAAGCTGCTTTTGAGGCACATGAATGATGACTAACATTAGTGACAGCTCTGTGGAGACTTGGTTTGTTGCTTTTGTGATGGGTCTGTAGGGTGGATGCACAAAATACTGCCGTTTTCTTTGTGAGTAGGAGTCATGTGAGAGATTGCCAGTATGTTATAGGACTTGCCACTCATATCATTGGAGCCTGGGTGAAAAATGTTTAGCAGCCACCACTTGTTGAATAAAGGAAGATTTTGTTACCACCCTCAAACCTACAATAATAGCTAATCAGCAAATTTAATTATTATATTTTAATCCCACACATCAAAATGCATGACAAACAGCTCTCGTCATCTCGGAAGCAGACACACTGAAAAATTGTTGACCAGTGTTATTCTCACATACCACCTTGTTCTTTAATAAAAATTCATGTTTGAAAAATGTTCGATTGGTTGTGATGCTCTACCTAAAGGTAGAGTATCGCAACCAATCAATTACCTTAACTGAAAATTACCTTACTCTAAAATTAGTGTTAATAGTTCTCAGGCAGATGTGCGGTCCTTTCTAAAAGGGATGCAGTTGGTGGAAAGTGAGTACCAGATGGGGAATACAAAAATATTTATGCGTGAATCACAAAAACAGAAGTTGGACTCTCAACTCCACCAGACTATTCTCTCTCGTATTATCATTATCCAACGATGGTATCGAACTATTCACCAACGACGACACTTCTTATTATTCAGAAGGGCTGTTGTTAGAATTCAGGTAAGATTACACTGTTTAAAAATGTATTTTTGTAAACTACTCATTGCTTTTTCAGGAACATGTAACTGTTTTTCGACTAAAATAAGTGTAAATCCTTGTACTTGATTTACACATTGGAAGCCTAATCCAACTGTCTACCACTGTGTACAAAATAGTAGTTAATATTGTCTTTGCTGAGAGGGCTCTTATGTGGTTTCCTGTGTTCAGCAACATGGCTAGTTTCCCCCAAAACAAATCACACTAGGCCCTAAGTCAGTGTAGGCCTACCAGGGACCAGAGGCTAAAACCCAGCCTGCTCTATAGAGTCACAGGGAGCTGAGGATTCTAGATCACTCAATTCAAGAGAGAGCCACCAGAAAAATAGTGAAAAACTACAGACAATAGCAAGATAAACAAAACACAACCCCCCCCCCCCCTCCAAAAACAATCCACCCCATAATTAGGCAGGTTATACTGTAGTAGCAGCTGCCCACCACCAGGTGGCACCATTCCTATATACCCAATCCACCCAGCCAACTCATCAGTTATTAAGCCTGGTGCTACTGGATAAATTGTTTTCAATCCTCAAATCCACTTGCTCTCTTCAATGATCTAGAGTTGCTGAATCTGGTTTGCTGCTCTTTGTCTGATTGATGGATGGCCGATCTCTTGATGCCTTATCTTTTGTTTTTTGTCATGGTAACAGTATACTTGGTGCTTGTTATCATTTCATGTCTCATCACTGGTCTTCTATTTTTGTCTTGGTTGCTTGAGCACTGATGCCTCATATCATTTGCCCCCTTGGTAGAGCCACTGTTGCAGAGGATTTTGCAACAGCAACAGTATTATATATTAATAGTTTCTATTTTTTCTGAATATTTTTGTAACTGTTAGTTTCATAATACTGTATATTTAATTTCAGTAACACATTCAAATCTTCCCTATTAATGAATTCTTGCATTATGTAAATAATGGTTCACATATTTTCTTTTGTGCATACTGTACTGTATATTGTATCATTATTAAATGGCTTTACATATTAGTTTTTAATAAAAGCTTTAAACAATGGGATATAACTCTAATATTGTTTTTGTGCTTCTACAGTGTCAGGTGCGGTGTTGGATTGCACAGCAGGTGTTAACCAAAATGCGTGTAAGACATAATGCTGCAACATTCATCCAAAAAATGTGGCGTGGACACCGTGTACGAAAGTGGTATTTGAATTTACGAAGGGCTCTTATAGCATTCCAGGTAGGTAGCACATTGGCATTTATAAATTATCGAACAAAATTATCGTAGTACAGAAAGCTAAGGGAATGTTTACAATAAGATAATGGCTTTGTATTTTGGAGTGAAAGTACAAATATGTTTGCTTACCAATCAGTGACTCTGGAAATGAAATTAGCTTTTTATGCCGTGCTTTCTAACCATTTAAATCTGACACACTAATAACCTCTTTCAACGTTAATATTTTTGTTGACTCAATTGCTTGTCAGCTTCCACTGATGTCCCCTGCCTCTTATTTAATTTCAATAGACTTCCTTTGTCCACTTTATCTGTTCTCAAGATCTTGAATGTAGTCAACATATCCTCCCCCCCCTTCCTCCGCAACCAGACACTAATCTGGTAGCGATTGTAGACCTCCTGAAAACTTGTTAATTTCTTCACGCGAGCTTCTTTGTCATTTTCCAATAGAGTTTGTTCCTGTCTCCCCAGTCTGATCACATGGTCTCATACACACAGTGTTCCTATATTGCTCTGCAACAACATAGGTTGGCTCTTTGATTTTGCTGCAGTGTCATTTTCAAACTGCTGCCTTCCTGCCCTCCTGATTCTTCTGTACTCATTCCTGGCCCTCTTTTAGTGCCTCCCCATTTGCCTCTGTACTCCTGTCCTTGTACTTTTCTCATGCTCTTTTTTTTTTTTTTTTTAATTTTCCCATTCCTCATTAGTCTGTTGAACTATTGATTTACTGTTCTCCTTTCGTCTGCTTCCCTCCTGAGAGGTATAAACTGTTTAGTTGCTTCTTTACATATGTGTTATGGGTTGCATCATCTCATTTGCTGACTTTTTTCCATTTCAGTCTTTCAGTGAATCTCTTGCAGATAATCCTGAACCCTCATCTGTATTCTCATGTACTCCTTGTCCTGATTCTAACTCTTTCATTTCTACAGTTAAATCAAACACAGTAATGCAGTGGTCAATGGCCCCTTGAAGTACATCATATTTTAAGTTCTGTCCATCTTCCTTTTGAGTACACACTAGGTCTCGAGTAGCTGGTAAATCGCCTCTTTCTCTTGTCGGTTCCTTGATATGTATGCCACGAGAAGTGTTTGCCTGTAGTGTCTATAGATCTTGTTCTCCATGTTTCATCTCCCTCCATGAGAATCCTTTGTTGACAGTTTATTTCCATGTGGTTAAAATTTCCAAGTGTTAGGATCTTTGCTCTGGCTCTTCTTGCCACTATAGCAGCCTTTTCTATCATCTGGCATGTTTCATTGCATTTATCATATTCTTCCCTTGACCTTCCTACAGTTAATGGAGGGTTATAAGTAATACCTGCCTCTATCTTCATGGTTTTCACTTACATCATACCCAGTATGAAATTGTGATGTATTGCATCGATCTGTGTACTACTTTTTATATATTAATTTATTATTCACATCATAGTGAACATATATCAGCTCGGCACATAATGTATATAACCTCGGCACCGTACTGTACTGTGTTTTGAACCAAAAGCCTTTTGTAATTACCAGGCTTGTGTCCGGGGGCAGCAGTCACGTCAGAGGTTCCAAATAATGTTGGACGAGTGGAGACAAGAAAAGGGTAGAAATGAATCCAAAAGACTCAAAGAAGAGGAAGAGATGTCTGTCACTTCAATAACAACTGCTGGGTCCACTCTCTCTGTACCAGTGGATCTAAATGAGCCTGCTCAACCTCCGCCGCGAAGAAAGTCACACATTCAAGTACGTGTTTTTGCACATGTACTCGAGAAGAGTACTGTACTTCTTTAAGGAAGGCGATGAGTCACAATAACGTGGCTAAAGTATGATGACCAGACCACACACTAGAATGTGAAGGGACGACGACGTTTCGGTCCGTCCTGGACACAATCGACTTGAGAATGGTCCAGGACGTACCAAAACGTCTTCGTCCCTTCACATTCTAGTGTGTGGGCTGGTCATCATTCTTTAAGGAAACTTGCCTTAAAATTTTGATTGTATCGGAAAATAATGTTTATGATTTTTTAATAAAATAGTTTTAATTAATATTTATGTTTTCAGGTGAAGGCTGTATGGTACAAAGTAAGTAGCAGTGATAGCTATATCTGTGCAGGTATTTGAAACCAGTTAGGACTTTTATTTTAATCATAGTTTAAATTTAAAAGAACTTGGATTTTGTGAATTTAGATGCACTGTACAGAGGGGGGGGATAACAAAATCTGTCCTTGTAAAGATATATAAGCATTAGCTGGGGAAGCATAAAATTAGTCCCTGAAATCATATTTACCCTCAAGCATTAACTATTTTGATATAAGAAACAAAATTAAGGTTACAAATTTGTGTGTGCACCAAATGAAGTGTTGTTCCACTCAAGAAGTTGGTGATATTTTGTATATGTAATTGTTGGAAATTATTTTCACTTGAGAAAATTATACAACAGGTTGATAGGTGTTTTCTTGAGTAGATGAACTTGGTGTAGAAAATTCTGAAATGGCAGACTCATGTGATGAGTCAAGTGTAGCAGATGGTTATCTTGAGATGATTTCCGGGCTTTAGTGTCCCCGCAGCCCGGTCCTCGACCAGGCCTCCACCCCCAGAAAGCAGCCCGTGACAGATGACTAACACCCAGGTACCCCATTTAGGTAACAGGGGCATAGGGTGAAAGAAACTCTGCCCATTGTTTCTCGCCGGCGCCTGGGATCGAACCCGGGACCACAGGATCACAAGTCCAGCATGCTGTCCGCTCGGCCGACCAGCTCCCATGATGGTGGTGAACTTCAGGACTAAAGATGAGTGAACTAAGAGAAGATAGTGAAGTGACAGGCTCACATAATGAGTCGGGTACATGAGTTTGCTACCTTCTGGCTATCTTGTGGTGGTTCCTGTACACATCTCGTGTAGTCCGTTCTCTGACCAGGCCTACTAGTTGACAGTCTGATCAGTTAGATTGTGTGTGTTTGCAGCATGCAGTTTGATGTAGGCACTACAACCTGGTTGAGTAGGTTCCCTTTTTGTGTGTTTATCAGGTACCTTCTTGAACAAAGGTGTGTAGAATGATTGTCCTTATATTTAGAGAGAATCTGCTGCAAAAGTGAGGAGACTGGATTGGACAAAAGCTATAAAACCAAACAATATCTGGCCATGGATCCTGAAAAGAGGCATCAGAAACACTGAGCTATCCCCCTGCAATGCTCTTCAGTGTTAAACTGCAAATGAATAAATTGAGAGAGCTTTGGAAAACAACTGTTTCTATATTCAAGAAAGGAAGAAAACTGGAGCCACTGATCAGTTGCCGACATGCATTCCTGCAAAATCTTAAGAGACTCACAAGGAGGCAACTTGTGGAGCACTTGACATAATTTGCTGACCAAATGACAGTGATGAAACAAGTGAGAATATTGGGCCGATTTTGTATTTTTTAATTTCCAGAAAATGGTTGATTCAGTCCTGCACAAAAGGCTCAAATACAAGTTTGATAACCTGGCTGGTGTAACAGGGAGCCGGTCGGCCAAGTGGACACCATGCTGGACTTGTGATCTTGTGGTCCCGGGTTCGATCCCAGGCGCTGGCGAGAAACAATGGGCAGAGTTTCTTTCGCCCTATGCCCCTTGTTACCTAGCCGTAAAATAGGTACCTGGGTGTTGGTCAGCTGTCACGGGCTGCTTCCTGGGGGTGGAGGCCTGGTTGAGTACTGGGCCGCGGGGACACTAAAAAGCCCCAAAATTATCTCAAGATAATCTCAAGATAACTAAAAAGGACTAGGGTAGGTGACTGGGATTCTTCTTGGGTAGGTAACACTGAGAAAGGAGAAATCTAGGTGATAAGAAGTCACAAGGCGGACCACACGGCTTGGTACTAGGGTCCCATTTTTGTCCTGATGTGTAAATGACCTGGCAGAGAAAAATTGATTCATTTATATACTGGTTGCAGATGATGTAAAGCTGATATAGAGAGTTAGAAGCAAAGTCTTTAAGAAACTGCAGGGAGACCTGGATTTACTGCAGCATTGGTCAGAAAGATAGCTGTTAAACTCTTAACTCTTACAAATGCTAGGTGATGATATAGGTGGGAAAGTACAAGCTGAAAGGAAGGAAACTGCCAGAAACAGAAAATGAGAAAATCTGTGAATTTATGTAAACTCCAAAACTGGCATGTGAGGTGTACATTAGCAAAATTATGTCTACAGGACATGCGAAGTTGGCAAATGCCCGAGTTGCTTTCAGGTACCAGGTAACGTCAACACTTGCATGTACAGATATGGCCTGATCTGCATATGGAAGTGTTGGCATATGCAGATCAAACTTGAGATAGCTCAGAATTATCTAAGTCTGACCCCTGCAACTGGGGGAACTTGGTACACATAGAGGCTGAAAAAACTTATCCTCACAACTTTGGTGGAAAGAAGAAGCACAGGAGATATGATAAGGCTTAAAGTATTGAAGTAAATTTACAGAGTGGACAAAGAGGCAATATTGAAAATGTTGATGAGCTGCAAGAATGTCACGCTTTTACTACACGAATATTACTACACTCTGCTCTTTGTTACTATACAGCTACTCGCCTTTCTTATCAACGTGTTAATCTTTTTGTATAAAATGTCCATTATTATTAAGATATTACTGTTTTACTGTCAATTTGTTAGGATTTGAATACAAGTTTCTCATAATTTCTCAGAATGCACAAGGTCACAAGCTTCACAGAAGACAAAGTGAGCAAGTTCTCTGCGAGAGAAGAATGTCGGAGGAGCCGCAATCATATCACGAAAACTTTAACAGACGCCTGAGTGAAACAAATATTCAAATTCGGAGATCGTCTCAAGGAAGTACAAGTGTTCAGGTAGTTGTGACATTATTACCCTTAATTTTAATTTTGATTAAATGCTATAAGGATGAAATATGGAAATGCCAATGAAGTTTTGTATAGTTTAATATATTTTTTATTGAGACTAGTTTGCTGTTACCATGTTTGGATGTGGTAAAGTCATATCCTATCACTCGGGTATAGTAGCCACACTTTCTCTCTGACAGAAAAAGAGGAAATTGGGCAGGAAGCTCAGACAAGGGAAAAGAAGATTAGGCTGGCGCTCTGCCTGTCTTTCCACGTGCCTCTTCACTCCCATGAAAATAGTAAATGTGGTTGTTGTGGTGATGATGATGATTATGATTGCTCTCACCTTTTTGGATTTTGTCCAATATATATTTATAATTGTTTTTGTAAACAGGTGTACATCAGACAAAGTGAAGAAAGTCCGTTCACGCCATCTCCTCCAGCGTCACCAAATGGAACTGAAGAAGATAAACCAACACACAAACCGAGATCTTTCAGGCATCGCCAGTATACCAAAGTCCCACTTGCCAAACAGGCTGCCACTACTCCATCAGGTATGTGTTAAACTGAAACCATTACAAGGCTCTAAAGTAAATTTATTTTAGTAGATACTAGTGTGTTTGTATTTGTCTTACATTGTAATATTATTTTAAATTCATTGAACTACATAATGTATTTAACTTCAAATATTTTAACTTTTTGTTTGTGTGGTCATATACTGGTATGCCATATATACATATGTAGTTATAGGGATATAGTGACATCATGAACCACCATTATGTGGTGGTGATCAGCCTTGCATCCTTTGTGTTATATGGCAACCCGTTCTCACACAAGACAGCACATATATGACTTAATGCTTAAAGTCAGTATGTTGAATATGAATTAGTAAATATGTGATATATTCCCAGTTACTTTTTTTTCCAAGGCCCAAACTCTTCCTCACGTACCAACTTGCGTCTCACAGTACCCGTCCGTCAACCTAGATAGCAGAATAGTCGTGATTGGTTCAATTATAAGGAAAATTGTACTTTTCAGGTCCCACATGGGTTGTGAAATTTACCTACTATTGTCCATGCTCTTAGAATATTATAGATCAGCTACTTCCTATTGAAGGTTCGTAGTTTTGTTTTGAGAAATATTAGTTGTTCTTAGTAAATTATAATAAGCACTAAAAATTATTACATAGAATAACAGTCCTTCACCAATCAATATTATATACCATAGTTGGTGCTTTACAAATCTTTAAAGGATGTTTTGTAGGAACGCTAACAGAAAACGATGGTTCATTGGAATGTCTATGGGGTAAACTACTCTAAACAGGATGGTATTGTGTCTACTATACCAACTACCGGATCGGTATATTGTCCACTACCACCTGTTAGGTGAGTAAGGGGTGCAATACCACCCACAGGATGAGTATGGGGATCACATCCACCCACAGGAAGGGTATGGGGTCCAATACCACCCACAGGATGAGTATGGCGTCCACTACAACCCACAGGATGGGTATGGGGCTCCAACCACCCATAGAATGGGTATGGGGCTCCAACCACCCATAAAATGGGTATGGGGTCCAATAACACCCACTGGATGTGTATATGGCGTCCATTGCCGCGCGTCGAGCTCGAAAACCGCAGCATTCATCTCAGAACCATGCCTATTTCACGCAGATTCCTTAATAAACGTAAAAGTTTTATATGTCACAAGAAAGATAGAAATATAAGCTTCATTCTAAATACCTTACCATGGGCATATTTAAATTTAAACCGAAGATACGTGTACTTTTATAATAGCCGAGCTCCGACCCCGGACAGATCGATCGACCGAGCAACTCTCTCTCAGAACAATGTTTATTTCACGTGAATTCGTTAGTAAACATATATGTTTTATATGTCTCAAGAAAGACAGACATATAAGCTTCACTTTAAACACTTTACTATAGACATATTTAAATTTCTAATGAAGATTATTGTATTTTAAAAATTACGGAGCTCCCACCCCGTACAGACTGAACGACAGAGCAACTCTCTCTCAGATCAATGTTTATTTCACGTAAATTCGTTAATAAACACAAATGTTTTATAAGTCTTAAGCAAGATAGAAATAAGAGCTTCATTTTAAATACATTACAATAGACATATTTATAGCTCAAGTGAAGATACATATGTTTTTATAGTAGCGCTCAGTAGCTTGTCGGGCATGGAGTGCAGACGCCTACGCACTTGCCGATATATTGTATAATTAACAAAGATACGCTAATAAAGCCTAAAATCTTATATGCCTCCAGAAAGACCGATATATGAACATTATTATAATTGCACCAAATGAAATATATCATGTTCGAGAACAAAGATATATCAATTTTAAATTAAGTTTCGACTCTCTCTCGGGTGAGAGAGATGGGGCGACTCTCGCCCCATCTATTGGAGGTTCTGTGCACTAAATACCCAAAGCTACTCAAACCCTCCTAGCATTATTTAAGTAATGAAGTAATATGGTATATTTACTCACTATAATGTGGGTGCTGAATGCAGAACATGAGAAAACATATATTTACTCCAAACTAATATAATTTCATTATGAAATAAGTAGCATCAAAGGAAGTCGATGGTCCAAGCAGCAATGTTGTGGAGCGACTTATCCAAGATATATCGTTGTTTGGAAAGTGTTTGTTGGCATATCCAGTTGTCGCACTTCTCTGCTCAAATTATCACAAATTTAAATTATAATGTTAACAAGTAGAATACGTATTTTTAATAAAATCTAACATAACTAGCCAGAAAACATTTAACATTAATTAAAAAATATATGTTTGGAAGTTAAATCGACTTCATAGGACAATGGTTTTGTTATATATACTCGTTATTCGTTGACATGCGTTCGCTACTTAAACTACCATGTACTGTACTTATGTAAAATCTCCCATGTCTCTTCGCTCATCTCACCGAACCCTACAGGCTCTGTGATATATTCTTTAATTAATTGAGATTCACAAATAAAGCTAATAATTGTATATGTTATCAAAAAGGCAGAGCTTAGTTTAGTTCATTTATTATGCACTCCATACCCATCCTATGGACGATAGTGGAGTGTTACAGAGGCACATAATGGGCTCAGGGAATGAGCCCCACAATTCATATAGCCAAGCAAGTTATAATCTTGATAAGCTAGTTACAAAAGTCAATGCACATTGTCACATCAACAATGGGCTCGAGACCGACCACAAGTACAGTTTATAATTTAAGCAACTGACATATATGGAGGGCTAGTGTCACAATTGATATGTTTATCCTACACATAACCCCCTCTCCCCCATCCAATGGGCAGCGGTGGATAAGTTACAATCAAGTCGTTTTTTGCGTTTTATTCAGAGATTAGATCTTATTGGGTGAGGAAAGATATTCATATTTTAAAGAAGGCTTCTTGGCTGATGCTCTCCATTGATGGAAAATATACAACCTTTTGAAAATCAATGTTAGTTTGATCTAGATATTGTAATTAACGAAAGTATTTATGTCATCTGAAAGGTAGAAATATAGGCTACATTTAAAATCCTTTGTCAAAATATAACTGAAGTGAAAACGAAGATATATGCGTTTTGATAGTTACTTGATGGCTTGCTTTGAGAGTGTGAAGCCCTGCACACCAGCCAATAAATTGTATAATTAGTTTCCATATATTTTAATTAATCTTAAAAATCTATATGTCAGAAGAAAGGAAGATGTAGCCGTTAATGTGACAACATTTAAAAATATATATATCTTAAGTTAAATAAATAATACCACCTTATTGCCGGTGTCCGGACACATGAAAATTACCTAGGTATCAGTATCCAGCCAGGCGGGGATCACAGGCTGCACAATACTGATAAATTTATGTAATGCACTACTTGTGGTCGATCTCGAACCCATTTATGATGTGACGACTTATAGTGAATTTTGTAACTAGCTCATTAAGATTGTAACTTGCTTAGCTAAATGAATTGTGGGGTTCGGTCCATTCATTTTCTTTCTTTATTATGCACCCCATAATACACATCCCGTGGGCGGTGGTGTAAAGGATTACAGAGGCACATAATCGGTTCAGGAACTGAACCCTCTAGTTCGTTTAGCTAAGCAAATAACAATTTTTTGACGCTAGTTACAAAATTATTAATGTACACATACTTATGCATACATGTACATATTCATACGTATACATATATACATACACATACATATTTAATCACCCACACAAATACACACATCAGTAATCTTTTGTGTCACAAGTGATTCAACAAGAGGCTCACAACAGTCACTATACAAGGCACTTTACATTTATGGTGAGTCACACTGTTACTAGTCTTGCTCCACACCCACCCAACTGGGCGGCAGCTTTACAGTCATGTGCTCCACACCCACCCAACTGGGCGGCAGCTTTACAGTCATGTGCTCCACACCCACCCAACTGGGCGGCAGCTTTACAGTCATGTGCTCCACACCCACCCAACTGGGCGGCAGCTTTACAGTCATGTGCTCCACACCCACCCAACTGGGCGGCAGCTTTACAGTCATGTGTATGCATTACCTACAGTAAGCAAATTTTGGATACTTCGCTAAGATTTCGAGCAGCACATCATTATGAATGAAGTACTTACACATTTCATGGACACTATTGATGTTGTTATCTTTAAATTCCGCGATTTTTCACATTCCATTATATAATGACGCAAAGTATGCGAATAGTTCTGCTGACAGAGTTTACATTTAGTCAAATCTAGATCATCAGATGTTACAAACTTCCAGAGGTACTTGTAGCTGAGCCTAAACCTAGCAGTGGTAACATCTAGAAGTCTGCTAACATTATTGGATGACCCATAGACGAGCGATTCATCAAAGTTTATACAATATTGTGAAATTGAGTCAGTGTAGTAACATAAATTGGTAAATCATAAATATTGTAAGTTAAGAATCTGATGCATGTGTGTGTTGGGAGGGGCGGGGGTTATACCCTTGGTAAGCGAGAGTGGAAAGTAACCTTAGACGCACTGCGGTCAATGTGGGGGGATGGGGGTAGGGGTAGGGAGGGTGGGAGAGTCAAATCCACCCTCCAACATCTGGACATAGTACCACCAGCCTCCACAACACTCCATCAGCCTCCAGCTGATGCTTGTAGATGCCTCATCTAACCTCACCTGTCACACATTAACCTACAGTTCCTGTGATATTTAAACTCCTCATCACAGTGGCGTCTCACCAATATAAACTGTATTGGATTTTGTCCCGAAATAGCTATATGCTGACTGGACGTGTATGTATGTATGTATGTATGTATGTATGTATGTATGTATGTATGGATGGATGTATGTATGTACGCATGTATGGATGTATGTATGTACGCATGTATGTATGTATGTATGTATGTATGTATGTATGTATGTATGTATGTATGTATGTATGTACGCATGTATGTATGTATGTGTGTATGTATGTATGTATGTATGTATGTATGTATGTATGTATGTATGCATGTATGTATGTATGTATGTATGTATGTATGTATGTATGTATGT